ATCTTAAGTGTAAAAGGCTTATTCGGATGATTGTATTGACTGCACGAAAGTACATCTTCGTTATAAAGCAATTTAGATACCACGCAATATTCATCTTAAGAAAATATCCAAAAGGAAATCATCAAGGGAACGTTGCTTTATTAATAAAGGACTATATTTAGAATAGGCTATATTTAAAAATGGCTATATTTAGAAAGGGCTATATTTCGAAAGGATATAAAGAAGGGGCTACTCGTAATTAGAAAGAGAAATTTTGAACAATTTCAGAATCAAATGTTCATGTTAATATTTATAGATATTGGAAAAAAATAACTTACAATATTTTGTTGAAAATTTTGTATTGATATTTGTTATAGAATAATAATTAAAGTTGATGAAAGATCTTGTATGGAAGATTGTTGCGGGTTACATTAACTTAGATGTTATTTTTGTCAATATAAGATGTAGTTCCATCAACATCCAGCATTGACACATGAGAAATATATTGCCTGTTTTAAATTTAAAAAGAGCAAATTAAAGATAATCTATAAATATAATTGAATGAAATACAAAAAGGTGACACAAATTTAATTTATTTTGTCCATCGCAACTTTATTTTTTAGTTAAAGATAATTTTTAGTTAAAGGTCGAACATAGTATTAATGAATTAACGGTTGATTTGCCTTAAGAAACACTCCAATTTTATCAGTCAGTTTAAATTTTGTTTCTCTTTTCGATCATGTGTGCTAGGTGGTTATTTCGATCATGGTGTTCTAGGCGGTTATTTCGGACATTGTATCATTTAAGATCTTGTGGTCAAGCTTTTGATTTTATGGTCAATTTGCCATGTCATCCATTACATGTACTATCAATACCTAACCACAAAAGACCCTAAAATATGCAACGAAAGAATGCGATTTTATTGATGTTCAAACCAAGGGTTTTTTTAAGTTACAATATTTTGAACCTAAAGTGTTATATTGAATTATTAATTCTATTTTTATTTTAATAATTTGTGTATGAGCATATCTAGGAGTCAATGTGTCTCTTTAAACAAATCACATCATTTTTAGATTTCGTAACTTGGTTTGATTTTTTTTCTGTAACTTAAAGTATTTTTCTTATAACTTTGATCATATATAATTAATTAATATTGGATATAAAATTCTCTAAGAATTGTTCGTTTCATAGACAATGCGCACAATTAAATTTATTGATAAATGAAAGGCATTTCAATGTATAGTATTTGTAAAAACTGATTATTACGATTGTATTAATATTCTGGAATTGAACCAATTGTCGCGTGCGAGTTGCCCATTACCCGGTGGATTTAAACTCCTATGGGTTATATACTATAAAGCAATGGATAAGTTAATGCGATCGTATCGTAGTTAAGTGACATATCGTTTTTGTCTTAAGCTATCGCGATAAATTAATTAAGGTGTTTTACGTTTTTATATGTCACTGCGGTTTGATCTTTGGGTTAGATATTTTTGCGGTTTTATGTCTTAATTTGGAATTCTCACACATGGAATCCTGTAAGGTTAAAGTTTGCTTGTGTCAATAAAAAACCGATGACTTTAAAAAAAGTATTAAAAACTGTTCTATGCATGATACAACCGCATTATAATAATTTGATTTAAGATGCTTAGTTTAAATATATTTCAGTTAATAATATATTTAATATTTTTTTCATTGTTTATTAATGCACTAACGCTAAATTTTTGAACAAATATGCAGTTGTTAAGTGAACGAATTATGAAGTTACAAATAACATAGAAAAATGAGTAAAACATGGACAACTAGCTTATACGGATGATACTTATCATGAATCTAGTCATAGCACTATTCTTTTACCTAATTTTAAATCTTGAGATTCGCATTATTAAAAGTTCTTTAATAATTTCATCCAGTATTATTATTATTAGTTATATAAAAATTTAAACTAATGTGAATATAGAAAATAATTGAGTAACATTGTAATAATTTACAAATCACAATAATTTTTAAAAAATATTAGAAACGAAATGGAATATTATTAAACTATTTTATTATGAAATACTTAATTCAAAACCACGGACACAATAATTACAATTTTTCAAGTTTTAAGCATTTAATCTTTTAACAACGCTATCAAAATAGATAATGAAATATCAACTAGCCCGCAAATTGAGACTTTAACCCTCAAAATTTGACAGGGAGCATACGTTTTATCATATAAATTTATCAGCTAATGAAATTCCATACTGCTACTAATCGCATATGACAAATAAACTGTCCCTTATACAGGAATGTACACGCAAGCTCGTAGTTAATAATGCTTTGTTAGTAGAAATATAATTATCTTATATAATCAATCTGTTGTTATAAAAGGCAACGCTTTTGCTTAAACTTTGAAAATGATAGTGAAAGAATTGTCATTTTTTTAATGATTTACAACATACTTTTGGCCTTTGACTATTAAAAGTTTCCAGGGACATATTTCGATTCCCCCCTAATTGTAATAAATATACGTCTTGTATTTTTACTCTATATTTTTTTCTTACCTTTTGTACTTTGTAAAACATCATTTTTTAATTTGTATTATGTTTAATTTAATTACAAGCATTCTGAATATCTAGACAATGATAAATATTTTTATACTTATTTTCAAATTTGTCTGCAGACGCCCAGGAAAATATAAAAAGGGTTGTTTCTATTTGATGTCCTAGGGGAAATAATTAGCTTATTTATGTCGGTTTTGATCAGTTTTAATTGATTTTAGTTACAAACATGTCGGTTGAGTAATACAGACCATTAATATAAACCATAAAATGATTGCTTGCAACAGCTTATTAGTAATATTATTATGAAATTTATTAATCAATTTATCCATATAACAGAAATTTCATTGTTTTGAGACATGCAATATTAAATATTCATTATTTTTTTGTTTTTAAAGGTTCCTCAGTTTGTGAATATGAATTGGTATATAACCCATTTTTCCCAAATATTGTGTATACCAATATGTTAAGTCCAGGAATAAAATCACAATTTTATCATTTATTTTCTTGTGCGATATTGAATATAGCTTTTCGATCTATTATTTTATTAAAATAATCATTTTTATTTTGGCTAAATATTGTTTGTATAAATCAGTTATCTGGTTAGTAAGTTTCAAGTTTATATATCATTCAACAAAGTTAATGTTTCAATATATCAAAATATGCAATAGTTTTGTTAAACACAATCAAATATTGACCTTTGTGTAGTCAGATTTTTACTCTTATTTGTAGACTTATTTATGTCATAACTTATGATCATATTTAATGTTACAGTAAATACCCACCAACAACGTATTTTTCCGACAGGATGCTTTTAATGGTGATAATTCATTTTATTGGCATGTACCTATATTATTATACCCTAGGTATTAATATGATATTAAATTATAAATTAAAACTAACAAAACTGTACTAAAACTACATACCGACCAGGAAATAGGCGCGTTATGTTTTGCATTATGACAATGTGATTTTAAATTCTCTATATAATGTCCCCCAGGATGTTCATAAGTAAATGATTGAATAACGAAGAAAAAAAGGGAAGATAATTATATACTAGAATATGATGTTAATTCTTCATTGTAAAGATCACCTTTAATTAATTGGAAAACAGAATATAAATATGCCATTAATTTATGACTTCTCTAGCTCAAACCTTCAACATTGTTACCTCTAATTTAGATCACCCAGTAACGTTTTGTTTAATTTCTAAATATATGTCGCTGTCATGAAAAAATAGTGAAAAAGGAGCCCATATATCTACCGCGTGCATTACACTTTTTGTTGAAATCAGACACAAACTTTGTTGAACATTTGTCTTCATTTAAATCAAATATTTTGAAAAATGATCCATTTTAAAATGTAAATGAAACGTTTGTATATATGTATGTAAGTACATCACATTCATTTTCTATTATAGAAATACTCTAAGTGTAACAATTTGGATTTTTAAAGTGATATGCAATTTGAAACATGTCGTTTCAGTTTAATTTAATACATCAAAAATGTAAATGTATCTCCTCTTTAACAAAATTATAAAAAAACTTTTCTGATATACCATATATTGAATTAAATTGTACTCATTCGTTAATAATGTAAATGATATTGGCTTTTGGGGGTCGCAATGTGTTATTGTCATTAAATAATTTATAGATACACTTATACTATATCTAACAGATGTAAATATCACATGTGATATTAACTGAAAATATAATTTTTTATCTCTGGAGCCTGGTCAAGTCAAATATTTCAATACAGACATGGTATCTGATCGTAGGTGATGTGATTAAAGTGGCAGTTATTTGTTTATCTACAAATAGCAAAGTGCTCCCGGGGTTTTGACACACTGAAAGGTGTACGTAAATACAGTATTTTCTCACCACCCAAATATTGTCATTTTTTCTAACTAAGTTTGTACACAACCGGCTGTTTAGGTATTTTCTCTAAATGGACACGATACAGTTTAAGAAATAATTGATAATAGATTGAATCATAGACATTTAAAATTCATAGAGAAATTGAAAGTTTTTGGCATACATTTTTATCAAAATATATACATTATGTGAATGTTTTAATCCTTAAAAAATGTTATTTTAGTACATATAACTGAATGAAAACTATAATTACAAAAACTAATAAGCATCTCAGATTTCTAACTCATTTCGGTTTACTCTATCAGAAAAAACAATACATTTTACTTTCCAAAAATACTCAAAGCTTACAAATTTCCCTTTTCAGTTATAATCATGTGTATTTTAAAAGCGTACATATCTTCAATAATAACTAGCTATCACATTGAAACTTAACTTATTTCAATTTCAAAAATATTATTCAACTATCTGTTAATTGTTAATAGAATTAACTTCTAAAACACATCTGCTTTACTTTTATATTTTGATCAAGAAATAATTTAATATTTAATCCATATTTTACTATAATCAAAGCGTCTGGATAATATTTTATGACGTCAATACTTACCACCACTGCGTTCCCTTGTGACGTCGCTTCTTCCCTGTCGTAATTTGGAACAACAAAAGTACCAATAAGCACCAGGGTACAAATTTCATGTTCCTAATTGTTCGTACTTTTTCTTAACACTGTCACAAAATTGTCTTTTCATTAACATTTAGCTCGTTACGTAAAACGTATATTTCACGTCCGAAATTCGTTGCAGAAAAATATATATTTCCCGACAAAGAATTTAGTAATCACAATCTTTATCAGAATTATTTGACAATTAACTTTGTATTGCTTATTACGATATGTCCTTATTTCAGTGAACAACACGGAAAACCGAGTAGCACTATCACTTTCATTCGCTCGGACACTTCTGAGAAAACTTAATGAAGATATTTCGAAAGGTGGCGCTCCTTAATCATTTGTAAACAGTCCAACAGCAGCTCAAGTTGCTTCACTAATGCCTTGTTTAAATTGTCAATCAATTCTTTTTATACAACCCTCTTAATACGTGTCCATTTATAACAATAAATTCTGTTTAATGATGCTTACATAAACATTCTGTTTTGCTTGTTGTTTTTTTATTTATATAATTTGCATTTCTTACACGTTACCTCATATTTGTATGACATTTCATAAACACTAATGAAAATGCTTCACAACTATGAGAAATAGTTATAAAGTTGTTAAGTATGTTTAATAAACATTTTTTATGAAATACCCAGATGGTGAAATATCGATGTTAAGCGACGATTTCTTTTTATTGTGGTTTTTAAAATTCGCAATTTTCGTCTGTGTTGGTATACCCGTTTTTAAATCACTTAAGTTTTCATTGAACGTTCTTAAACCCTTTGATGTATGGAAGTTAGTCTTTTATTTTTCCATGCACCATTCATTCAAAATTAACTCAATATTACTTCAGTTATTTTCTTCTTTTTTTCTAAACCGTAAAATACATAATTGACATTCTTTATAGTTTACAGATTTGTCTTATGTTTGCGTGCGTAAATCGTTTAAATAAAGTTTCCATTTAAATATCATTTAGTTAAACGCTTAAAAAATCCTTTTTAAGTTTAACACTTTGGCTATTAACTCCCTCTCTTTTATCCAGTTATCAATCCTTCAGAAGGCATCTTTCTTCAGTATAAACGCCGTAATTAAATGCTTGTCCGATGACACGCAAAGTTGTATCTGACACCAATAATTCAATTATAGTCAAAAACTGGCCACGTATATTTAAATGGTTCAGATCATCTATTGGCACGAGAAAAGCTTCGATAGCCGTTCAATTACATACAATCGATTGATCTACTTCATTTAACTGGGTACTCCAAAATCGCTGGATTTCTCAAAAAAATACTTATATACAAACACGAAGAACGGTTTTGCTCGATTTATAATTGCTCTCTAGAATACACGTTTAATTAACAGGGATTGTTTATTAATTGGCACAACCCTGCCGTTTTGATTATTTCGAAAATCCCTTTGTAAATGGAAGGTTAGAAAGTGCGAATAGAATCTTTCCCGCCTTGGGCATCTAGACACACGTAAAAATTCCAGACAAATACGTAGCACCAGGTCCTATTTCTTGCCAACGTGATGATAAATCCTGTTTTCAAAACAAACAAAATGTTACTTTAAGAAAATACCCCGCAATTATAGCAAGTCACAAATCACCAAAAGCCATCAATTTTTCTTAATGCTTAATAAGAGCTAATTAACTTGTATAGGAAATCTCGATCAAATATCAACATTTCTTATGTAATTTAAAATGTTTCGTTACGTTATCAATTTATTCAAATCTTCACATATGATTGGTGAACTAACTACAAAACACTTTTGACGGATGAAGAATATTTGCCAAATGACTTTACACGTTCCCCTGCTTTAAGAGTCGAACAAACCAATAAACAAGATTTTTATCGCATTTTTGGGTTAGCTGACTTGTAAAGTTAAATACATCTAAATACACTATATGGACCCGCCCCCTTTTTGGCTAAATGCGCCGCTTTTTCACACACACACACAAACATACACAGAGACTTTTTTTACAATTATAAAAGTAGTTTCTATCGGATTCTTGTAAATTAAAGCAGACTGGGAGAACGCTTTATGTATGCTTATATTTGTAAGTCGGGAATTCCTCAAAGCTAACAAGTCAATTCCGTTAATGGTGATTTAATATGTTTATCAATGATTCTGTTATGTCTTTGATACAAACTATTCATTTTGCGGGAACAACGAAGCGAAGAAGTCAGATATGAACCGGAATTATTTATTATTATTCATACATTCATTCATGAATCAGAGAGAAAAAAATATACGTTGGTGTGCGATGTATTTTTATACATGATTCATGTAGTTTTCCAACATATAATAGAATATTTTTTTTATAACTGTTTATTAACTATCCCCGCATGGTTTGATTTAATGGGTATTTGATGTTATTTCCCCCCAAACCCCCCAAAAATGTTTAATATCTAAATTCATTCGCATCACTCAATGCAGATTTACCTCCATATTTCTGAACGCATTTGTACTTGTATACAGTGAGTCCATTTTTTTTCAGACCGAATCCCAATCAACTCATTTACTTGATAACAATTTTTTATAGCTAGAGTGAAATTTTCTACTTTCTTATTTTAAGGTTCATTAAGCATTTTTTATATATCTTGTTACAATTTATAAATTATTGACACCATAACATACAATACGTCTTAAAGTTAAAAGTTCTATAAGGATATGTTTGTTTGATTGTTTGTTTGGTGGTGTTTTTTCAAAATTTTAATTAGTGATATCAAGTCAACTATTATTCATTTTAATTGATTTAGTAAATACTATATGAAACCATTGCAATAAAAGTTAAAGATATGAAATCAAAAGTAAAGATATATTGGTAATTTCCATTTATACATTTTATTATTTAGAACAGGGATCATTTAATTATATACCGCGCACTTTTTAAAATTGCACTTAAAATCGATTTAAATGTTGGAAAAAGTGACTGAATTTTCTGTTTATAAGCTGTAAAGCCTTATCCTTCAAGTTCGTACTGGCCGGTGAATTTCAAATATTGATAAAAAAAAAACTGTAGAAATGTATCATATGAATATTGTTATAAAATATTGCATAAAAAAATGTTGATAAAGTTGGAAGTGATTAACTATGGACATTTATATGATGAATAAATATATTTTGTTCTAGAACAATCTATTATCAGCTATATAAATGTATATAACATTGGAATATGTATCTCATACTTGCCAACAACTTAAATTGGTTTGTTGTAATGCATAATATTAAATACTATCAATGTTATTTATCTATCTATTATGTTGTATGGTATAATTTATTGTATTACAGACCTTCCATTATAGACCAATTCAATTTATACATGTACATGTATATCAAATGCGCCAAAAACAACATATCATCTGCTATACAAATTGAACAGATAAGGAACATGTTATTATTTTCATTTGCATCAGCTCATTTATTATCATTTGTACCAGTTATTTTACTATCATTTGCACCAGCTATTATATTATCATTTGCGCCAGCTTTTATACTATCTTTTGCGCCAAGTTTATATTTTTATCCCCATCCCAATCCCTCCGCCCCATACCCATACAATCGTCCCGCATACAAACGCACGAAAACGCCCAATTTTATACAATTATGGTTATAAAGTTACAATATGTTAATGATTCACTACAATTTATGAATTGATATATGGTTCATTTAGATTGCAACATCCAATTTCCCCAATATTGTTCCCTTGCTCAGACAACATAATAATTCCCCCAATTACTATAAAATTGTTTATTTTGTCTGCAATACACTCCCGTAGAAGGAATGGCTCTCGTCTTTTTATGAGCAATATGTTACGCCCGAGACCTTCGTGCTATATTTGAAATAAATTCAGATCAGCAATAATATGTATCATAACATCACATCAATTAGGCGCACCTTTTGTGTTGCTGATATATTTTCACTAGGCGATACTTATTTTTATTGTAATAGTTCCCACATTTAAAAAACAATAACACAATGTTGTAGCACTAAGTATTGACTCGGTTGTAACGTATAGTTTTGAGTTATACGGTAAATGATTCATCCCCTGTTTCATGAATCGCACTAGTACTTGTAAATGAAGAGAGGTTAACCTCTTTGATATTAATCATATATTTTATAGGGTCTAGTGTTCCCAAGCGTTGAACATTTTTCACGTTATCTAAACGATTAATGCGCCATTATCGTATTTATGTTTAAGAAGCGGTTAAAAATCCTTGAACTATACTCTTTTTTTCATCAATTGTAATGATCTATAGGTTGCGCTGAAATTTACGCGATCTGACAATATTGAAAATATTGACATTTATTAGTTTTTAAAAAAAAAAATTCTTTATTGATTCACAGAAAATTATAATGTATTTTTTAGAAACAACTTTATCAAGTTTACCTATAACAAAAACCTTGTTCACTGAAAAAAACAATGGTGTAATCTCTCGCAACATACTTTATATAATATAATAATAATCATACTTACTCTTCCAGAACCTTCTGAGTTGAAAACTGAATAATTCAATCCTATGTGAACAAGGAAGAGTGGTAGGGGCATAAGAGAAGTTGCGCTTTTAACTGCTGTCATGGGCATAAAGGGACTTGATTGAGTTTATTTTGTTGTCCAACCCCGCACCCCCATTAAACGCCTTGTCTTTCCTAGATAACTGCACATGCTTAATAAATTCGATGGATCAATCTATTTTTATTATTTTGATTAAATTTTATTAAGTACACAAGATGTTCTATGTAAAACTTGTATGTTTTGGGGCTTTTGGAGCTCTGTTGGAGAACTTTTTAACCTATCCTGAGATTTTATTCACATTCGAAGGATTTCACTTATCAAAATTATCAGATCAATGAGTTAGCATACTTATTCACGACAATGTTTTTTTTAAAATTTATTTGACATCAACATTGATTGGAGAAATTTTGAAATACAAATGTTCTTTTAATTGTCAATTGAGAAAGGACATACAAAATTAATGTTCTTTTAATTGTCAGATGAGAAATGATACACACATGTTCTTTTAATTGTCAATGGAGAAATGACATACAAATGTTCTTTTAATTGTCAGAGGAGAAATGATACACACATGTTCTTTTAATTGTCAAGGGAGAAATGATATACACATGTTTTTTTAATTGTCAGAGGAGAAATGATACAAACGTGTTCTTTTAATTGTCAGACG